GTAGGGAAATGGAAATGCCTCCCACATACTAGCAAGAGCCAAAACAAACAGACACTTTTATCCCTCTGCAGCCCTTGAATTCTTCCATCACTTTTTATTATACTGGAAATGCTTGAAGGTCTAAACTGATCATTCAAAGCAGTGAATTTTTCCACTGAGATTGATATGTTAGAAAAAGTGGCTATATTTACTTTTTGTGAAAATATTTGTCCAGACTGTGGAGAGAAGATTTTAGATTTATTTATTTTGTTGCTGTTTTTTAAGACCCCTCAACCTTATCAAGGAATGATCTGCTTCTTTAATCTTCCATTTGAGGTCCATTAGTAACAAAGCACAAGATGATCTGACCATGCTGGAGAACAGGCTGGATTCTTAAATGTTGCCAAATGCAGAAAATTCTAGTCGTTTAAAAATGACAGCTGAAATATAACTTTATATATGTGATGACCTGCCTTATCCAGGATTTATTGATGGGGATTTTGCTGGAAAAGCTTCCTGCCTGCAGTGTCAAACATAATTCTCACTTAAGCTCTCTGCTTCACAAGAATGTTTAGAAATTCCTCTGCTCTTCCAGGTATGAATTCTCAGTTAATACCTTCATAAATGTGAAACAAAAGGGATTCACTAATATGTTGAAGTAGGAGTTGGAAATTTCAGCATTAAGGAGGAACCCAGCCCAGCAGCCAAATTCACAGGTATAATCCTGCTTAAACTGCACTAGCAATTCATGTAAGAAAACATCACAGAACCCTTTGATTCTGAAGAAAAAGAAGGAACACGATAGAAAGACCACTAGACAGGGATTGAAAAGTTTCTCTTTTAAATAATCAAGAAACAAGAACTCTTTAGCATGAGGGGTCCCAGAAACGAATGAGTTTGTGTCAACAATTGGCAGTATTAGCTGTGGTACTTCCTTCCTTGAGACCAGCTAGAGGGACCTTCCCTTGGACAACAGCTGCAGCACCAGCCCAGGACAGGCACTGGGAGCAGCAGCCAGATTCCTCAAGACTCAATAGATTTCAAAGAGACACTGTCAAGCAGTTAAAAAGCCCTTGTCCAGGGCCATGTTGGTTTAGGCTCTGATTCAGGAAAGTAGTTAAGGATAGTCTGAACAGGGCTTCTCATTGCCTTACATTAAGAAACCTGTAGGAACTCAGATGCTAAAAATCTATTTCATTTTGTTTTTAAATCCGTCCTGCTTAAAAATCTCTCTAAAGCAACCAGGGAAAATGCATTTAGCTTTTTTTTTTTTTTCCCCTTTATATTTTAAGATGGAGAGAAGGCAGAGACATCAAAGTAGCCAAAGGTTTAGGTATGTGTGAGCAAGAAGGCGGAGCCTCACTGCCCTCTCAGGAACTCTCCCCCCTCACAGAAGTACCCACAGACACACACAAGCATCTTCTTCCACGAGCGTACAACCAGCAACATGAAAACCTTTATGCCATCTCTTTCCAGAGGGATTGCTTAGGTAGAGAACACACGAAGGCACTTGCTTTAGCCACTGGAGATTATTGCTCCCCAGGGAGAGCTGTGAGCCTCTCAGTAATTCAGAACAACCTTCAAGCAATGGAAACTGCAGTGCTAAACGCCTCATGCCCGTGGCTGCCTCTGCCCACACCCACCGTGCAAGGACCGATTTTGCACGTGTGTATCAATGTGTGTTTAACCACCTGCAGAAAGTGATCTACCCACCAAGGCTCAGCAACCCCTGAGAACACGTTTAGGGTCTCCTCTCAGGTCAGTGGGATAAGGATCACTTTGCCAGACTCAGTTCCCAGGCAGCGTGCTGGGATCCGGCAGCAGCCGTTCCCACTTGCCGCACAGGGAACTGCCTTTCCCTGGGGTTGCTCACATGTGCCAAACCTTTGGTTACCCAAGTATCAGTGATTGTTGTTTCTCTGACTTTTGTTTTATCATTAGTGGCTTTTGTTCTCTGTTTCCCCTGTCTTTAAAAAAAATAAAAACAAGAAAACCCACTGTTATGTTTCAAATGACATTAAATTACTAGAAACCACAACTCCTTTAGCCAGAGCTACCAGAAATCTTAAAAATTGGCCTGGCAGCTTGCTGAGATAAAAAGAGGCTGAGCTAGCCTGCTTTTCTGTGGCAGACTTATAATTATCTTTCTCTTAAATACTTTCCAGGCTTTTTTCCACTATCTGCAAGACTTTCTCCACCACTTTCATGGGTGGATTTCTGACCACTAACTGTTCTCTCCCTCCACAGACAGAAAACAGAAGGGGATTGAGAGATAACAAAATATTGCTTTTTGTTACAACAAACAACTTCCAATGTACCCTGGAAGTTGTTGTTTTAGGAACACCATTAGGAAAATATTTACATTTGGATGTGAGCTGTGACATTTTTATATCAACACTTAAAGAGATCAGCACAAAGAACCCAATTAATTGAGAGTTCAGTCCAGGTTTTCCAATTAATAGTTACTGTGGGATTTTCTTTGGTTCTTTTCAAAGGGGCAGAACAGGTGGAAAGCAACATAAAACCCACACCATTAGTTTTCATGGCATCTAGGAGCAGGAACCTAAATTGAACACCCCATGACAAAGAGCACATCCAACACCATCAAGCAGGCACCTTCCCTTCCCAATGGTTTCCCACCCATGTTTGGCTTTGCTCCATTCACACCAAGAAAGAGAGGCTCTTTATTAAAGAAAGCACCAGAATCTGCTCATTTAGCAGTCTATATAATAGACCCATTGTATATAAGAGCGTTCAGTTACACTGACAGGTCTGTGCCAACATCTACTAAAGCATTTCTTGCCTTTGCAAGCATCCAAAAGGCTTCACTTGTACCATTAAAGCAAACTGAGGAGATATCAAACCCCAGCAATTTCAGTCTGAAAATAGCCCTGCAAGAAGCCAGACAAACTTCCTTCGATGTCTCATGAATCACGAAAGGGTTTCCAAGCAAAGAGAGAGAAAAGTCAACTCCAAATTGGGCCCTAAGACATACATGTGTAGCCCAACTCCACAGCAGATCTGAGCGTGCCCCAGACCTCCCTGCAGAAATTTGCTGCCTGGATGTCAGAGCAGTAAAGAGATCCCAGGAACACCACGGGTGCAGCTCTCCTCTCACCCCACAAGCAGCCGCTTCTATCGCTACCAGATGGTGCAACTCTCCCTGTGTAAACACTGGAAGGAAAACCCTGCTGAGGCAATTCTAAAAATAGGAGGAACAGACTCTCTTGAGCTTTTCAGATCCTTATCTTGAAGGGAGAATAAAACAAAGGAAGTTTTCCTCCCCGTCCTTGCCAGTCTCTCTGGCGTGACTTGAAACCCCTGTGCCTTTTAGCAGCAGCGTGAATTGCTTACTATAATTATCAGCAACTACAAAAGTATTAAATAATCATCCATCACAAAAGGAAAACCAGCCAGAACTCTGGACCAAGGCTTCGATTATATTTGGCCTTCAAATGGTCAATGACAGTAGGTTTCTGCCCAAGGGCATTACCACTCTGGCAGAAAATGAAGCAAGTTAACTTTCTGAGCATGAGGTTGGAAGAGACAACAGCCTCAATTCAGGAAAGCAGTGACATGTTTATATTTCCTTGATGTTCATGTTCATTTAAGCAAATGCTTATGGTTAAATGCTTTGCTAAAACAAGGCCCCATCTCTCTCTCTCTGGATTTAGAGTGGATTTTTCTTTTGCTCTGTCTCATGAATTCCATCTGGGTTTCTGGAAGAGGTAGCTACACCGTACAGAAAGTTCAACAAATCATTCCAACACTGTTTCCAAAGAAATTAATTACTGTGCCTGGAAGGTTCCTTCTAGTACCTCTGCAATCAGTAGTTATCTTAGGCATCATGAGGATGGTGGTGACAGATTTGCAATTCTCACACTGAAAAGAACTGCTGTGACGTCTGGTTGTCTCATTAAGAAAGTTCATTGCTAACGTCAACAGTTTGCTTGCATTTCTGAGCTGTGCTCAGCACTACTACAGGCTGTTGAGAAGACATCATGTGTGTGATGCAAGAGAAGTAAAGCCTGCTGGAAAGCAGTAAAATAAGTTTTTGGACAGCAATGGCCCCTAGAACAGGGTGGGTCTTGTTCCCTCAACACCCAGCTGTCATATCCCAAATGAAGCCAGGAGCCTGGGTGATCTGGTGACTTGGTCACCACCAAGACTTCACCTGCTGCTGGGGCTGCACCAAAACTCAACAAATTTCAATGTGTAACTCTGAGATGGAAAATCAAGACTGTGCAAGCTCAGCATAAATGTCCAGAGCAGTCAGGAGTTCTGCATGCAGTTTGGGGAAGATTCTCAGCAGAACCGGGCAATGGGAGAAGGTTTTGGTGCTCAGAATAACTGAGTTTGGAAAGTGCACAAAAATAAATCCTGCCTGCCTGAGCCCTTGGGCAACTGTGCAGTTTGACAGCAATTTGCCAGCAGTAAAGCACATGTCAGGGCAGAAAGGGGCCCCAGGTACCACTATGTTAATGCATATATTTCTGCTTCATGCCAAGCTGCTGAACTGTATCACTGAGGTTAAGAAAGCAGGAGAAAGCACCACCTGAGGGTTCACTACAAACACCTGCACATGAAGATCAAAGAAAACAATTTGCATTTCCACAATTACTCCAGGTAAGGTAAATTAAAAGCCAGTCAATGAGAAGCACTGATCATTCCTGAGATACATCTGCAATGACTACTGCTATTTAACAGAATAGGCTGCTCAAGATTTGAGCAAACTGTGTCCAATTTTATCCTGTTTGTTTTGGCTGGGAAGACACTCAAAGGACCTTGTCCAGCCTTTACATCCTTGAGAAACTAATTCTGCCTAATGTCTTTTCTAGCCTTGCTTCCCAGCAAGTGTGCAAGTGCTCAGGGTTTGATCCTTTTACCTTTCAGAAAGCTGTCGAATCTGGGGGATCCCCATGTATTTGTTGAAGTGCTCCAACACATTCACAACACCTTGAAGAAGGTTGGCAACCTCCCCATATTGTCTCCTCCTGGTCATAGCCCTGTAGAGGAAATTAAAGATTTACTAAGGCAGGTTCAATGAAAATCCTGGGTGGCAATTCCACAGGTTCCCTCATCCCCACCAGTTCATGCTGGTCCTCACTGACATTTATTTATCCAAAACACAGAACTCTTCATTAACATTCCAATGCAGCATTAAAATTTCACTCAACTGATGCTAAAATAAACCAATCTGACACCCATCTAACAATGCCTCAAAAAACCATAAATGTCAAAAGCAACACTTGGCAAAGAACATGTAAACTACTGAATGCATCCGCTTCCCAGTGTGGGTCCAGAGGCAGTAAATGTTATTTCACTGTAATAACCTGAGTTAAGTCATTTGTCACCACACACAAAGTGGGAGTTAAAGCTTCACAGGGAGGAGAATCCTTATGCTGAAAAGCTATTAGCCTTGACTTTGCAGTTAATAACTTTCACAGGGAACTGACAGAAAAAAAAATAATCGAGTTTATTTATTTTTATTTAATCCTTTAGGATCCTTCCAATGCAGACAGCAGCCTAAGTCAGATTTAATTCTGAACATTTCACAGCCCAGTGTTCGTGCTATAATCCAAGAACAGGCTGTGCCTGGGTCTCTCAACTTCACAGGTGCAGTATGTGAAAAAACTGGATTTCCTTACCCTGTGTGTTCCTCAAGCACATTAAAACCCACAAAGGATTACTAGAAACATCTAACCCCACTTCACACAGAGCACAAGCTGAAAGTCTTTCTGAAATGTCTCTCAGAACTAGAGTAGACCTTCCTGAAAAAAAATAAAATCTTATTCCAGTTTGAGACATAACACTCCTAAAAATCCCCCCAAATCCCTGAAGAGCACATCCCTCAGGAGGACACCTAAGTGCACAGACTGTCTTACTCTTTAATGAAGCCAGACTCCCTCCTTATCACCAAGGATCAACACAGCAACTCAAGCAATCAATGATGCAAACCCTTAAATACAGCAGCAGGGGTTACAGGTCCCTCAGAGCAGCACAGAAAGGACCTGCCAGCAAAAATCAAGACTGCAACCTATTAAACGAACTTCCCTCCAGAAAAACAAGCAGCTGTTACAGACCTATCCAGAGCCCTGTGCCAAACTCAAGAGCTCAGCAGTGGAGTCAAAGCATCACTAAAAATTCACACACTTACTCCAGTGAGTCCACACCCCCTGCCAGCATGTGCAGGTGATTGAGGGTGGTGATGGAGGTGGTCAGGTGGCGTTTGGCATGATCCAGCTGCTTGATATCCCGGGTGATTTCTTTAACCTAGGGAATGCAAAAAACAGAGTCTGGTTAAGTATCAAGCCACAGAAACAAAATTCTGAAGAGATAAGAAGGGTTCTCTCCTCCTTTCAACAAGCTTGTGGGCTCCACGCCACATTAACACAAGGACAAGGGTGCAGGTTCAACACAGGCTTGACAGCAAATTTCCAACCAGTCAGCAGGACCAAAGACAAAAATGTGCCCTTCTTAAGGAGAACTGGAAGCAAACATCAGTGTCTCCCTCCCTTTCAAAGGCTAGAAAGAAACTGCTGCTCACCATTTGTTCAGATTTTTCAGCCTTGTCTTTAATATCCTTAATTTTACCAAAGAGCTGTTGAATGGCTTTCTGGGCTTCTTCCAGGGCCTGGAAAAGAAACAAGGTCAGCGTGGAAAGAAAACCTGCATTCATTTTTCACCTTCTAAGAAATACACAGTTGCTCCCCACAGCCCCTGGTCTGCAGCAGGGGAGCTGTTTTCTTACACAAAAATGTATCAACAGCACATTAGAAGTCAATGCACCATGTTGGGATGTTTAAACTGAGTGGACCAGGGTTTTAAGATCTATTTCACAACAGCTCTGGTGAAATCCAATTGAGATATACTATGGAAGCACCTCTGTAATAAGAACTAGGAATAGGTTTAAGGTAACTGCAATAAACATTGATGCATTACATGTGAAAAAATTATGTAGAAGTTACTCCTGATCAATATGAATTTAGAGCAGGAAAAGGAAACCTCCAGAAAATACTCTTCATTAATGCTAAATAAAAAATACACAGCATTACATATGGAACACTGAGTGCTTGCCTAAACCTCTCACTGAATGAGCAGGGTTATTATCCTGTTGGAAAATGTGATGCACATTTTGCTGATTCCCAAGGGTTGGGCAGCTCAGCCTCCCACCCTCTTGCAGAAGGAACAGCTTTTTCAAGGCAGATCAACCTTTCAAGGCAGAAGGTTGAGCACAGGACATAGACCTCACCTGGATTTTTGTGCTGTTTTACTGCAAGCTTCTTGGGGCACCTGGTCCCTTTTACACCACGATGGTGCATCCTGACCTCACACAACCAGCATGAGCTACATGTGGATTCAATGAGTGAAGCCACATGTCCAAAATCTGATTTCTGAAGTAATTCAACACGTTTTGCCTTCCCAGCCTGATAACATTTCCAGCTCCACTTTGTTTCCCACTGTTAATTGGGCTTCTATCCCTCTGGTTTTACATCCAGTCCCATGACCAAGGTTACAGCACAAACTACAAGCTCCTTCAACAAATAAATTTAACACATCTTCATTTGGAAATGCATGAGCAAACTATCTGCCAGAACCTTTCTGCTGGAACATAGCTGCATTATAATAAAAGTATTAAAGTTGGAAACATTTTATAATTCATTTTCCAGAGTGGAGAAAAAATAAATCATTTCACTTCTGAAATATCTCCTGAATCATGTGAAAGTTAACACTTTATCTGTTGGTGTGATACAGCTATTGTGTAGCATGTTCACCAAGAGAAATGAAGAGACAAATGGGCTGCAGGGACAGCTGCTTGAGAAAGGAACCTACCACCTCCCTTCCATTTGCCTCCAGCACAGCCACCTTTCAGAATGAAGTTTTCTCTTCCATTTGGATTAAAATGCAAACCAAAGAACTAAAGAATGAGCCTCTCAACATGTTCAGCTATCACCTCTGTGCTCAGTCCCAGACCATGGCTGCAGCACATCACTCCTGTGGGTGGTTAAGCAAGCAACAACTGTCTTGCATGCTCTGATATTTGGGTCTGAAAAAAACCAACAAAAGAAGTCAGCCTGAAATTCTTCCCAGATGCCAAGAGCTGGATCCCTTTGCTTCAGCACTGAAGTCAAACACCAATTTCTCTGCATGAGAACCAAAGAAATATAAACTTCAGTTTTAAGGAAACACCTTGTATGTGATAAATGGTGTTCATTAAGGGATGATGAACCAATACCTAGGACATGAGAGTAGGTCTAATTATTCAAAATGTAATACAGAAGCACATTCATGTATCTAACAATTATTCTTGCACCTGTAAAGCAGGAGAGGGGAAACCACAGCCATGTCAAAGGCTACAGTGTATATTGGAGAATGCATTTCCCTTCACATTCTGCTCCTGTTAAGACAGTGAATCATGAATTTTAAAAGCATTTTCTTACCGTTTTTGTTATTATTTTATTAATAGACAGTTTATTTTGGACAGAAATTCTGAAACCAAAACAAAATCAAGAGAATAGGAATTGCTCTTACTCCAGCATAGCTGGCTGACATGATGAACGACATCCAGTAATCTTACATCTGTGGCTTGACACTGGGGTCACCTTGCATGACTAATTTATTGGTGTCCTTGCCAGTGCAACTGGGAAACACGTAAATATATGCACCCCTAAACATGTAAAAGTTACATTCTGGTGTTTTCTCTCTTACAACAGTTCATTTCAGGGGCAGAGGACCACGAATAAATAAAGAGACTGCATACATAATCTGTTGTGGTTATATGAAACAAGGATGTTGAAATTAAGGTTGCGATGTAGTGGAAAAACACCATATGACTCTAATCAACAACTGAGCCTGCAAGCTACAATTAACCCATCAACATTATTTATTAAACTTTATGCAACCTCTGAGGTCCCTGAACATCAGGCACCAGCTGAGAAATACGGCATGGACAGGGCCCAGGCTCCTGAGAGAGGCAGAGCCATTGCTCAGCAGTGCCTGAGCCACAGCCATGGAGCATTTTTCCCTAAGGTTTGTCCCTTGGATAGCCCAGCTGCACCAACAACAGGAAATTTAGCAGAGGGCAGGACTGGCCACAGAGTGAGAGACTCAAGAGGGCTCAACACAGGGTGGGCTTGGGCTACAGATCACTTTCCTCCTCCTCCGGTGTCTTGTGTCTGATCCTCTGCCCCAGCGTGGGTTTCAGGAGCATGTCCAAGCTGCAGGAGGGAAGAAGGGGATGGGATGGTGGGGTGGGATGATGGGGTGCCTCTGCAGGACTCTGTCCAGCTCCACGTGTAGCTCTGCAAGAGGTACAGCCCTAGAGCTGACAGACCCAAACCACAGCTCTTGGCAGGGAATATACAGGGGAATCCTTCTAGTTGAAGACCATGATGTATTTTTAGGCATCCTCCTTTCTCAGCCAGTCTGTATTTACATGCTGGGAGCTTCTCTGCTCTTGTGTTAACAGCAGAGATGAAATGTAGGAGACTGAGAAGCCACATATGTGAGCTGGAAGATCCAACTCTGTAGCGCACGGCCAGACCCCAGGTGAGCTGGGCAGATGGAGAGGAACACAGGTCTTCATCAAACCCTCCAAAGCTGGAGAGAAAAGCAAACCCATGAATCAGCTACAGCTCTTCAGCCTTCTTCACCTTGAGACGCAACAGGAAGAGTCCAAACACACCAGTATAAAACAATAGGGAGAAGAGTTAAACCATGAATCACTAAGAAAAAGACTTCTTAAAAAATAGCTTTACTTGGCACAATCCCAAGCAACTTCTAGGGTTGGCCTGCACATCATCACTTGTGTCACCTTCTTACATGAGATCTTCCCAGCAGTAAAAGGAGGAAAGAAAATAACCAGGTGAGTGGTGGAACAAAACCACATCTAATTAATTAGATTTTCAAGTGCTGCATCCTTTAAAAGGTTACATTCCAGCCATTTACAGTGCCAGACTGACAGTAACACAAACAAACCCAGCACTAACAACAGGTCTGAAGTTAAAAAAAAAAAAAAATCAACTCAGTAAATTACAGTTGGTCTCTCCAAATCCCCCCAGCCACTGCAGAGGGACAGAGCCTTCTCCTCCCCCCCCATCCCAGGTATGGAGCTGTCACATTGCTCCATGAGGCAGCAGAGGCTCATTAGTGGGTGTGCTGAATTCTAAATACCTCTTTATTCATCCTGGCAGCAATCTTGTGCAAGCAAACACTAGGAAATATCAAACAGGATTTAAAAGAGGCCCATGTGTTACTACTAAATGTCACTTAACTGAAAAAAGTAAATTTTCTTGCTTGCTTGAGAAACCCTGAAATTACTAAATTAACACTATTCTGCCCCTAGTACCACTTAAAATATCTCAATAGTTTCCACATGCTCATCAGCGTTGCACTAAAAAGGTGTTATTTTTATTTGATTCTAGCCAATACAATATTTCAATTGGATGTTATTACTCACATCAGAAAACTGCCCTCTACTAGATATTTTATAGACATTTGACACATCTGCCAAATTCACAGCATCCAAATGTATTTTTAATGTTACAAATTGGGCTGTGGTCAGGATGCTGAGAGTTTAATGCCCCTGGAAGGGTCCCCAGTCTTGAACACAGAGTGTTAATGCTTCTTTCATTTGCTGCCACACTTACAAGGCAGATCAATGAAAAATCTAGACCATCTAAAAATAAATTCCCATCCCCAATTCTCTAAGGAACCTCAGCTGCAGAGAATTCAAAGGAACTCCTGCACACTGTGACCAGCCTAACAATTTCTGCCACTAAAGCCTCGTACGAACGAGTCCCTCCAGATGGAGAAAGGGTGGAAATATACTTTGATTCTCAGTCTGATTTCATTTTAGAGAGAAGTCTGAAGTTTTACAGCTAGGGATAAATTACTGCAGCTGAAGCCAAGAGGGCTTGTCTGTGGGAGCAGGGTGACACTGCACTATGCCAGCTCATTTCCCTGAGCAGACAAACCTGAAGGGCTCATCACACTTGGTTTTGATTTTAGTAGATTTCTACCCCAGGAGTCCATCAAATACTAGAAAACTACTACAATTGTCACTAACAAATAGTTTTCTGCCTTCAGCTCCAGTCCTAACCACTAAGGCTGCACAGGACACTTTAAATCAACAAAGCAGGTTACATCCAACACAGCATCAAGTTTAAACTTGCTACTATTGCCCCTTCACTTAACCCCCCAATCACTCTTAGAAATCAAACCCACATTCTGAATAGCTGCCCTAACACTGACAGAGACAGGAGGTGAAATGAGAGGCAATTTCCAGGTTGTGCTGATTGAAACCTTTAAGTTTAACTCCTGAGCCACACTCTGGTGTCAGTCCAACACCCTCCTGAGGTGTCATTTTTGACTGCATTGCCCAGCCAACATGAAGAAAGGTGATGTGCTGGAAGTGACATTGCTTTTAGTGATCTTACTCCAGTGAGTCATCTTACACAAGTTTTATAGTCAGGCATCCAATTTGCACCAGAGTGACTTGGCCATTTAAAGGTTGTGTGAGTTGCATAATGCTCTAGCAAAACGTTCAGCTTCACCCTGCTCAGACCTCAAGGTGGGTTTCCACAGGTTCAAAATGGGAAGTTGCTACAGGTTCATCAACATAGCTCCATGTTG